ACTTAAAACCGCATGGCTGATTTGCATAAATTGAGGGTTCAAAAACAGTTCGCTATTGTGCGCTGATGTGGTTTAGCTTCTGTCGGACTAAAGGACACGACTCAGTGGAATATATGTGTTCTTGCTGTGACAGAGGGATGTTCTGCTAATGGTGAGTGTGTTCTGTGATTCTATCGTGTTGGAGATGGTTCATGTTAAACTTTTCAGAGATTATACGTCTGCAGGTCATACGCATAGACTGTATATATGAATGGACATATATTCTAGCCTCTTAGTGTTTTGGCGGTGAATTACTTTGCGGCGCATAGATCTACATCAGCGTATCAAAGTTTTCAGGCATCCACACAGTGCCAGATCAGATCCGTACTCAAATGTGTTGGTGGGAGCTGGCGGCACCAGATTGTTTTCAATCGGATTAGTGTGAACGAACACTGTATCCGCAACGAAAATGACTCGAATACATACTAGTGTGGACGTTTTGAGGTTACTAGAATCTCTAAATATCATAGTTGGGGGTGAACTGTAGAATTATTTTAAATGCAGCGTAAAACTTTTATACTTCAAGGTGCTCTGTGTAACATTTCTGGTGGAAGGCCTGCAATCGGTTTGTCCCAGTGGGCATGTTATTTTTGTTGCATGTTGTTTTTGGGGGGATTTTCCACATTATGGCATTATAAAAATATCTTTTATTTATTTCATTTTTCAAAACTACTGCAAAAGCATGCATTATTAGTGTGAGAAGGTCTACTTTTTCACAGATTGTACCTGTAATTTGGCCTGGTGATGTCTCTTGCCATAGTGTAGATCATTTCAGGGGAAAAAAAAAACAAAAAGCATGGAATCAAAGTGGTGGACCCGCTACCAGAAAGGTTACACAGTACACCTTTAAGTAATATACATTTTTAAATATCCCATCGTATTATGTAAAAACACTGTCAACGCTGTTTACCAATCCATATCACTTTTCAATATTCAATGTTAATTCCCCTGGATGAGTTTAAAATGTGCACAAAATCCTATAAAACATCTATTCACCATTGCAATGCTTGTCAGAAAAAGCCAGCCCATCACTTGGAAGTTGAAAACAATCTCCACAGGTAAACTTAATAATGCATGACACGGTCCCAAGTTGGCTAGCTCTGATTGATCTGTTTTTGTGTTTTTCAAAAAGAACATCAACTTCTCCCTCATCATATCTATGCTTCCAGAATTAATTAGGAACCCAGTAATTTCTTCTGCTTTGAATGCAACCCAAATCACAGCCCATAACCAGGATAACACTGCAACGGCGTGAAAATATACCCCCTCAACCATGCCTTACTGCGCTCCATCTGAGCGTTTATGCAATATTACCGACACGGGGAGAGAACTAGAGGTTGTCAAGTATGGCCTGGAAGTTTCACATTTGCAATATTGTTGTATTTATCCATTCACGGACGGTTAAATCTTAAGTGGCCACTAATCTATTGCACTAGTTGTGGGCATCTCCAAAAGGATTTGAGATGACATGCTTTTCCCCGGGGTAGCGCAGCGTTGACGGGCCACCTGCGCTGATAATAGCAGACGGATGTTCCCCCACAATTACGAATCTGACAGTGATATGATGGATATAAGCCCGGGTTGAGCATCATCAACAGCCCTGGAGTACCATAATCACAGAGCAAGATCCTCCTCAAGGCTGTTATGGCGTTTATGTGAGAGGCTCTGAGAGGACAGGCTTCAGTCTCCCTTCAGTGCGCTGGATCTCCCGGGAGTTACTATAGCAACGCGTCAATTACAGCCACTTTGACTTTGGTGGATAATAAACTGGAAAGTGGATACTTTGAGAGAATTTTGTCATGGTTTTGTTGCATCTAAACAAGAAGCTTTTTTGCTTTTTAAGAATACAGTGCCAAAATAAAAAATTTTGCTGAAAAGTCAATCAAATACAGAGGATGATAAGTGAACTCACTACAATGCACCAATGATGTGCTGCTCACAACACACATTATTGATAAGATATGACAATACTCTGATTCTGCAGATGATAATAAAAATAATAAACATTTTTATAAAACAAAATACATTTTTGTCAGAATTTTGACTCAAAAATATTAAATTGCTTTCCTCAATAGTCAGTCAAGTTGATTTGGTCACATTGGTCACTTTTTTATAAAGTGCTGTTTCAGTGTGACTCAGTGGATTTGACAAATCTACCAGTGACGTTTATGTCGAGAGCGGGATTCGAACTGCCAACCTTCAGATCAGTGGGCAAACACTACCAACTACCAACACTACTGCCCGTGGATTTTGGAAGGATTTACCATCAATGCAGAATACGATGTGTTACTTTTGTTTGCATTACTTACAGAACACACCAACAGCTTGATCAGAAAACACACTACTGGTAGCTGGCATTACATAACATTGTATGTTGACCTCTGTACCAGGTGGCCCACACACTCCATTTTAGTTTCACTGAAGCAGAGATCTTCACTTAACGGCCATTAGTGTCAAGGGACTACTCACCAACAGTTTTGTGTACAGTCACACCAGTCCTTACACTAGACTCCTTAAGCTATATGTTGAACCACATTTGGTCTAAACACACTCAAGAACATCTATTAGGGTCTTGGGAACTATTCAACAGACGACTGCACCACTGTTTCAATCTTGTTCTTATTTAAGGAAGGTATACACTGAGGGGACTACTTCAACATAGAAAACTTGGAAATGGGCGCTTTTCTTTTGAGTTATTGCTACTCAACCTACATCTCTCCAGATCCCCCCCAGGACACATCAAGTGCAGCCCAAACGAAATCATTTCTATTAAGTGAGCGGGATGTAATTTAAGATTTTTCCCCGTTACCGTCGTCGCTTCATATTTCATTTAGTATGTCTAACATTTTTTTTACACAGTTACCCTTCTAATGAGACCGAGAATAGCTTTTTGCCGCAGCTTCAGCTAATAGCTAAACCTAGTCTAATTATGGCTACTCTCCAAGCAACAACATCCGAGTAATTACCAGCAGGTTAAAGCAACATGCATGTGGACAGGGAGCAGTCATTTGTCCCCATTCTACTTCACTTACCCCCTTCAATATGTTTCACTACATGCGTCGGAGCACAGGAAATAAATGTACACTTCGGTGAATCTTAATTAAGTGGCTTTTTCGACGAACACCCACGAACACATCGCCATCACTGGAGCCGTGCCCAAGATAGTGCCTCGCTTTTAAATCCCATGATCAAAGTACTCTTGGATACTTCCTGGTTTGTGCACATATTAAGCTCATTAAAAATTAAGGCTGCGGAAGAGCTTAAAAAGAATCTTTAATTTTATCCCAACACATTAGAAGATGTGGGAAGAGTAAGTCCTAATAAACAGCATGAAGAGAGGAAAGTAGTGAAGCTGGTCTTGACTTCAGAGTAGGGCTGGGTGATATGGTATGACATGTGATTCACATATTTTCTCTGGAATGCAGAACTATGCTCAAAGACACGTTTTTCCCACCCACACCTTCTATTCGTTAGCCTCTATCAAGTTCTGAGTGAATGACAGGTGGATTTAACCAATAGCAATGAAATGTGCACTCCAGTGAATAGCAGAGTGTTTTATGGTTTTCTTATACTCCATTACGGTCAAGTACAAAAATAATAGTTTGTGATAAGAAAAAAGTGTGTGTGGCTCAACAGCAAAAGGAGTTAGAAAGTATTCTTTAAAAAAGTTCTCAAAGCAGAGTAGCCACTTTTGCAAAGGCACCTCTTGTATTAATCCCAGTCTGTGCCTCTGGTGCATAAACGTTCGGATTACAGAGCTAACCACTGCTTGTTCTAAAATTAGCCAGATTCACAGCCGATGGCAGAGCCAGAAGGTCATTTGAAAGACTTGTGTCTGTGTGAAGGCATCTCCAGTGATCCTCAAAGACGTTTGGTGTGGGGAGCCCGGAGGATGGGAAAGACAAGCTGCTGGTGTGGCTAGCAGCTGTGCTTATCAGGTCTGTACAGAGGTATTAGCATGCACACATCTGGTACCATACAGAACGCAATCAGTGCAGCTTCAAACTTGTTTTAACAACACTACATTTGAGCAATCAAAAGCTATTTTTGTATTACTGCCGCCCTTTAAATTAAAACTTTAATCAGCTGAGTAAAAGGCTAAAGAATAGCTAATCCCTCTATTAGTCCTGCTAAAAATAGTTTGGTTGTCATTACTGTGCTGTAACACTATATTGCATATATATGAAATACAGTACACTACATTTGGCATCACATTCTATCCTATGCGGTACTTATTTCATGAGCACGTTTTTGGTACCAGTAACAGTCTGACTATCCTGATTTAATAATATGCTAATGTAATTTGGAATATTCTGAAATGTGATGAGACCTGCAGGAATAGAAAAAGGTGTTAGGGGAGGAAATTATTATTTTGAAGAATTTTTCAATTTGCATTTTAATTTGAAACCAATTAATTGAATGTTTCTTAGTGGTCCCCATGCAAAGCTGAGTGTTTATTTGCAAAAGGCGCTAATCACATGTTTTGAAACTAGTTGGCTGTGAAACTCACTTCAGAACTCACTTTCTACTCCAAAGTGTGACACCCTGCCTAGACACAATGACTTCCAGTAAGGATATAAAAAAGGAAGCCTTTACTTTTTACCTTTATAAAAATGGAAACAAAAAAGATGAATACCCAATGATAGGAGACAATTCTCCTCTGTAACCATTTAGCGCAGCCTTCACCTCCTCACCATCTGAAAGAGCTGTCCCTGAGCTTGACAACATTTCATGTGTTACCGCGCAATGCTATTATTCGGCGGTGAGTGCTAATTTATTTGCTGAAGGGTCTGCGTCTCCTTCTATTTATTTTAATGAATGACAGCCAGGATAGAGTGCTAATGCTTTCTAGAGAGGGGCTCCGATTATTTCATACAACCAAGGCCCCAAAGCTGCCAATAAGCACATTAGTTTAAGGTTGAATTCCCTTGTTAAATAGAAGAGATGAGTTTTGAGCGTACCTTGCGTCCGTCGCTAGCGTGGCAATTGACGTTCAGGGGAGTTAGCAAGGCCATTAGCTTCTCTTCGTTTCCGCTCCTGCAATGACATACACAAGGAAAATACATTTAAAAAGAAACTGGTACTAAGGATTAGCACTTCTCCAGAGCTAAAGAATATAGGAGAGAAAATGAGGAAGAAAGAGATAAGCAATGTGAGACCGGGGGGAAGGAGCGGGGTAAAGCTGAGAAAATTCATTTGCTGTTTCAAATTGACAAAGATTTGTTCAGTGGGAGGTTACGGCTTGAAATGTGTGGTGATTTGGGGTAAGTCTGATGGCAACAAGAGTTTAAAAGAGTGACTTTATAGGAGGAGACTTCGACATCGTTGGAGGAGCAGCAAGAAGTGTTTCTGTAGAATCACCAATTTGGCCAAGAAAAGGCTCCCACAAAAATGTCCTTTCTATGCTTTTTGCTTAAATTTGGTGGGCTTTTTATTTAATTTAATTTTGCTCTACTATACACTGTTCTTCTATGCACTGTATTCACCCATTTTCTATATAGTGCAAGGAAAAATTGTCCATTGTTCCATATTTTTAGGCTTATAAACAGAGTTGGAAAAAAAACAAAAAAGACTTGATAATATACACATAGTAATTGATACTGAAACTAGTATCTAAACAAAATACCAAGAAATGAAAAAATAAAAAAATAAAAAAAACAGAAATAGTTTTACAGTGGCCTTAAAATATAAATGGACTGATTCAAGATTGTAATACTAAAGAAATTACTATTAATTTGTGCTGAAAATTACAATCTATTGTCTAGAAAAAATGTGTTCATCATCATCATACTGGTATAAATATTGGTACTGACTATACATCCATTATCACAGCATCTAGTTGCCATTCTCCCAAAAGAATCAGTGTGTTATTTATCAGTAGTGTTCTTAAATAGGTTTACCGCCATTTCCGGACTAGTGAGTGCACCTGAATATAAGTCGCATCAACAAAATTTTAAACTTGTACACATATAGGCTGCACCTGAATATAAGTCGCAGGTGTTCACGTCTTCAAGAACGTTTTCAAGTTCGGGCCGTCTGCTTTGATCTCTTCTGAAAGCGCCGTCTTTTTGCATTGAGTCAGTTCGTCACACTGCCGTCGAAAACATCTCACCATCGACTCACTGATACCAAGCTCTTGTGCAGCAGCTCTGTTTCCTTCTTCGACAGCCAGATCAATTTCCTTTATCTTAAAAGCTGCATCATAAGAATTTCTTTGTGTATTTTCGATAAGGAGGGTGTGTGATGTGTTGCATAGTTCCTTGTGCATCTTCCTTGTCTCTCCCTGTGCTCTACGGTGTATGTCTCCTGCAGAAAGAGCCGCTGTCCTGTCTGTATCATGCCAGTGTCTTGGAGGATTTCAGCAGATTTCAGATCTCTCATTAATTGGTTAATGGCTGAAGTTACTGAAGTTTGAGATGTTTTTTCTTGTCATTTACGCATTCAACTGTATTTAACATATATGTGTAAGATGTATCCCCTTCACTAATGTTAATTTAGCATCATAACGTATTTTATCACATGGCAATAAACTGAGTGCACTGACATCGCTAGCTAATGTTGCAACTTCATGTAGCTGCACTGTGTTGCCAAATCGTAGACCGTATATATGAAAGAATTATGTGCCAAATAAATAATCCCTCCATATATTAGCCGCATCATTGTTTAAACTGCAGAGTTCAAAGAGTGAGAAAAAGGTAGCGGGTTATAGTCCAGAAATTTCGGTAGCGCAACTTCAACTTCAGTTTGTGTTTAGGTTTAATCGTGCTGCTTCTAAATACAACGGGTGAATTGGGAATCAGAAAAGTGGTAAAACATCTTGCTTCAAACAAAACAAACAAAGAGGGATTAAAGCGACCACACAGACTAACTGCCCTGTGGGATGAGAGCAACTTGTTTGGATGCAAAAACTTCCATTTCCTCCTCTCCTCACTGCAAGCTGCCAAAACAGAGGAGTCATCCGAACACAACAACATCTTGAGGGTTGGAAGTCACCGTGTTACTGAGCAGGTCTTTCCAGGATTCACCACATGGCGTTGGTTAGATAACAGCCATGTACTAATAAAGTCCCAGTCCCTAAAGAGCACGGAACTTTCTCAAACATTTGGTCTTAGTCAAACTCACTGTGTTTATACAGGCCAGCAAAACCAAATAACTAAATTGATTTACTAAAATACATGTAAACCCTGGAAAAATGTATGTGGTGTCATAGTTCAAATAAAAAAATAACAATAACACATCTAGAGAATCCAATACGTATTGCATGTAACAGCACAGTATGATTTACATTAGCTGGAGACAAGGAGAAGCGTTCAGCTGCATGGGGTGAGAAACAGCCAGACAAATATTAAAATGTGCAGTAAGATGTTTACTCACTGGTTTTAGATCGGCAACAATGACAAACTACCGTTCCTCCACAGCTGACAAGCACATCTTTGTTTCATTGTTTTGGAGTGCTATACTAAAGTGAAAGCAAAACCTAGCAGATCTTCAGTGTGCTTAGTTGTATGGCAGACAGCAAATTATTTGAATAACGCAGTTTGTAGGGTAAAAATCAAATGGCGTACGTAAAAAAAATATGTTGCTTATTTATTTCTGCTTGTATGATGCGCTTATCTGTATTACAGCTGCAAAGTTTTAGTTCCAATGTTAAATAACTAGACGTCCCTGAATGCCCCTTAGCCCCCATCCGCACCTTTTTGGTTCATTGACCTGCATGTAGACCGGAACAAGTGGTCAAACCGGTTTTGGGGCGGAGATGACTTGAATTCAGTTGTTTGGAGCACTCAAAGTTCTCACTACATGTAAACATAGTGACTGGCAGTAAAATTAGTGTTTAGGGATTTCCACATCTGTGAACAGCCTTAAAGATGTCAGCTGAATCCTTAATTTGCTAAATGTCACAAAAGGTCAAGTTATAGTTTCATATCTCATAGCTTTCTATGTGTTTGCTTCTCTGGAAGTCACAAGATAAATATTGACACAGCTTGGTAGTTAAATGTCAAATAGTTAAGCGAGATGTTTGATAGTCAGAATATATCGTTGAGTAACACGGCCCGTTCATCCATTGTGAAAAGAATCATCCAGCCATAAATATAAGGTAATGAATCAGAGAATGTTTAACAGGGGGAGTTGTTGTTAGCTCGCCTCTAGTCAATAAAATAAATGCTAATTTTTGGATGACTAATTGTACAGTCTCACGGGGTAGCAGCAGTAGCTAAGGTTAGTGATTCCATCCAAACTATGGCAATAAAAAATCTTGTATCCTTGGGCAAGACAGATCACCCACCGATAAATGCATTATTGTTTAATTCATTACATGATTTTAAAATATTGTGATAATTGCTCATTCAGTGAAACACAGACAATGCATTTAGCCTATAAATATGCATTGTGACTTAAAGATGTGATGCCGACTTACTTAAGTTTACTTTGTCTTTGTCACTCTCTATAAGAATAGATTATGTCCTACTATTATTCAAAGGCTGCATGAAGTGAGTTTGCTCATCGATAATGTGCTGTAAGATCAAAGATTGAGCAAACTTGTCTGGCTTGTTTGCTGTCAGCTGATTGTCAGCCCCCAGTGACAGCTCTCTTTTACAGGATGGAAACCTTTTGGCAGCAACTGTGCATTTGGCCTATGCAATAAAGCTGCTGTCACAGAAACTAACGATTATGCTTTTTAGTGTTTTTTTTTGTTTTGTTTGTTTGTTTATTTTTTGCTGTCAATGCAGAGACTCTTGGTAACAGTCTCTTCCAGTGTTTATTATCTGGCTATGTAAGTACAAACATGGGGAAAATATCTAACAGAATATCTACAAAGGTAGTCTTATGACCAAATAAAAAAGAATCAGGGTAAAATTAGGTATTCGTTACTGCTTCTGTAGAGAAATTTGTCCCCTGCATTTGATCCATCTTTTAACACTGGAGCAAACTGTCAAGAGCAATTGCCAGCAATAAAACCCAAAATTTAATGTCTGGGGACTAGACATGTACAAGTCAGCTCTTGCCCGAGCCAAAGAAAATTGCGTCCTGAACCAACTCTATCAAACGTACATTAAAACAATCATATTGAGGATAAAATGGCAGTAAAATATTAACACCCAAATACAATCTTTAAGAACTGTGAGTGAACATAGTCATGGAGTTGATTGTTAGAACTAACTGTCTTCTGTACCCATTTTCAGTTAATCAGGTAACTGCACAAAATGCAAGCTCTACAAAGAAAGCTGGACTCGGGTATGGGGACTTTCTTCCTGTGAGATGCTTCTCACAGACCCCATCATGGCAAATTGATTTGCTAATCGTGTCTATGGTCTATGTTGATGTAATTTCAAATGCAAAGAAATAGCCTCTAAATAATATTCATGAGAACTTGTTTATTATCTGGTTTTACACCAGCATGAGGAAGCGATGTGGTCCACAAATGGTGAGAGGATCTAAATGTAAAAAACAGCATCCACTAAGCCATGTGTGGGAGGTTTTTTGCCCACAAAAAGGCAGACCAAAATAAAACCGGGCAGAAAAATAACATTGGTCAAGCTGCCCGGCTACTCCTCAGCTGTGAGAGTGGAACAGTGAGTTCACAGTTCAGACTCAAGATGGCCCCTGACCCTGCCATACACTGGCCCTGTGCTGCTCTGAGCCAGCTGCCTCCCCTGCCACAAAGAGGGATGGAACAAGAGAGGCTGTTGAGGCAGCCAGAGCTCAGCCACCCACACGAAATAACAAACCAGAGTGCTGCTGTTTCTGCACTGGAGATGGGGGCAACAAAAACATACAGGCTTTCACACCAAGCCCACGTGCACCTCAGCCCGCAACACAAACATGCCTCTGAAAGAGACTAGAGGAGATGGGTCGATACGCCTGCTGCACATACCAAAATGAGCAGCACATAATTACATCCACGGAGGGGAGAGATGCTATGACGCAGCTAAGGATAATCGGGTAAGGCTTTGATGTAGCATTAAAGGTCCAATAATTAAAGTCAGATTTTTGGAGTGTTGTGTTGTCATTTTATGTGTTGCCTTTGAACCATCTCAGGGCATTAGACAAATTGCACAAATGACAGGTGTAAAGATATTTGGGTAGGTGAAAGGAGAGCAGAGAAAAACAGATTTTGCATATTTCTGACACTCTTCCACTTCCACTTTAACAAGCAGCCACATACTGTGACTTGAAAAGGCAATGTGAAAGAAGTTTCTTGCCCAAGGATACAACAACAGCATGCACTGGTTTGCCAAGTCTTTGATGGCTCTAGCTTAATATTCAAGGTCAGACTATCAATTATCTCCCTCCCCAAAAATGATACGAATGCTTTGCCAATATGTTGTTTTAATTAGTTCTTCTCACTACCGCTACATGCATAGTATATTTGACCAGGTGTGTGTTTTTGCTGAAGGTCTCAATAAATCATGTGCTGAATCAGCACGTATGCACATATAAACAAGCATGTGGTTATCTATCTTCAATGGGCATGGGCAGTAGTGGGGCCACTTCTAACAGAGTTGGGTCTGCTTCAGGCATGGCTCCAGGGGCAAATGTCTGCTACATGAGCAACTAGCATCACCCAAACATAACAAATGTTAATAGTGCACAAATTATACTTTTTAATTGTAAGACCATTCTCAGCAATTCAAAAAGACATTTAGTAATTCCAAGTTTGTGCCAGAGTAAGCACGCTATTTAACTTCTCTGCACCTCTTCGTTAGCCTGATTCATCAGCCGGTTTCACTTCGTAGAAACCATCTCACCTCGCAGCATTAGAATTTGCTCGCTCAACGGTAGGCAGGTACTTTTTGTCATTTAAAAAAAATTGCTGCTAGAGAGAGAAACGAAATTGAGCGAAGGCAATAGGTGGCACCAGCCTGGCTACCTCTACGTTGCAAATCATGGAACTCTCATACAGACTTTCTTGAAATGTGTCACTGCCATGGTACAAATTAAAATTTAAGATGATCACACAATATTTGAGTGGTCATCACATTTGACTTAATTAATATGATAATGTAATGTGTAAAAAAAAAAAAAGTCTTTTTAATTTTTATCATGATCTTTGATGATAATGAAAAATGTTTTTATCTCTCTACCACTGCCTTGCACATGATGTCTATTGTTCATACATAATTCTACATTTTTACTATTTGGTTGTCAAACCTGTTTCTTTGAATTGTACTTTTTTTTTTAACAAGTGCTAAATAAATAAATAAATAAATAAATACTGTCTCTTTGTTGGGTTTGGCTAATGTTGCCTTACATACTATATGTCATATTTTGTGCATCATTCAACAGGAAACAGTTGTTGCTAATGTGCTATCTTAGTTTTGTTAAGCATGTCGGCAGCTCAAAATATGCAATCACTGGAAATGCTGTGGTTTATCACAAGATCAAGTCAGCATTTCGTGAGAAATTACTAATTACCATACTGATCCTCTTCACAACAAAGCAAACAAAATAAGGCAAATTATTCCTGTTTGAATAAAAAGCAAATGTTCAACTGTATAACCCAGTCATACCCAAGTCTACAGAGTGTCGCCCCCCATTTACTCAAAGATCATTCAGGGACCCCCTAATAATAATGCAAATTACATTCAAAACAATATGTAATATTTTAGTTAGAGCTACATGTCTATGGGCTTAATATTGATTTAAAGTAGTAAATGAAGCAAATAAATTATGTTTAATTTAGTCTGTACAAAGTTATGTGAACAAAAAGCAGCAAAGTTTATCTTCTTAAACAGCTGTCCCAAATACACTGAAACAAAAACATCCCTTCATAACAGTGACCTAAGGACGGAGATGGGATGTGTTTGTTGTTGTGGAGATAAAGCCTGACAGAGCTCCAAATAATTAACGCTGGACTGGAGCAGTGCTGCTATGTGCCTAAAAGGGCCTGTAGGAAAGAGGGCGAGCAACAGGGAAGAAAGCCAAGGAGGAAGACAGGAAGCACAGAGGGGGATAGTAAACATAAAATCAGAGGGATTAGGCACAGCAGACATACGCAGTGAGCAAAAGGAAAGAAAGGATATGGGTCGGTGTAATTACAAGGGGAAGGGGAGAGGAAAGAGGGCACCGGAAATGAAGCAGAGAGGAGCACTCAGGAGAACAAACAGAGGACTCTACAGGACGGACAAACAGAGGGGTAGGTGGGACTAGAACACTGCCCAGGGAATAGAAGGGATGAATTATAGCCAAGTGGCAAGTTGGATGCAAGCACTTATTTAGATGCATGGCCAACGCTCTTCTGCCATCTTTCATCTGTGGAGGATTGCCTTTGTACATATGAATGATTAGTATTGTGCATTATACAAACATAATACATTTTTCTGTCAAAGTCACTTTGATTAAAATGTTTCACAAGGTCCTCTATGCTGGTGTCCATTTTCTATGAAGTACTAGTAGTTGATTGTGCTTTAAATGCCTAGTGTATGTTGGCAGTGATACAAAGGGTTTATTCTGTTTTTAACAAAGAACACATATTAATCACAATAGACCAATATATTGGTTGGTCGATATATCGTGCTTGATATTTGGACTTTTTAGTGTATATGCTATTAGCCTCAATTCTACAGCACAGCACCAATATTTTGCTTTGCTAATATGCTGCAAGCTATATTTTAAGAAGAAGAGATAATTGGATAAAACAATTATAACTACACAGCACTCTTAAAGGGACATATTATGTTATTGTTTGATCTATTTTATTACCCTTTCTCATCAAAAGCATACCTAGAGTTGTGTTTTGTTTCATTCACACATGTTTAACACACAAACCCTGCATATTTGGGCTGAGTTCTTCTCTTAAACAATTCTCATTCCATCTTGTGATGTCATGTGGTAATACAGGAAGTGCTTCACTGTGTTTTTAAACTCTACACCACTATAAGCGTTTGGATGATTTCAAATCTCTACTGAACTAAAGGTAAAGAGTAGCTGACAACTTAAAAACTATCACTACATGACATCACAAGGTGGAATAGAGCATTTTGAGCTTTGGAGGTGTAGACAGACTAATAATAAAAGATTACTCGTATGAGTGAAACAAAATACAACTCCAGGTAGGTTTTTGAGGAGGTAATAACATTCTAACATCACATAAAGCTCACAAGAATGCATTTGGTGTAATATGGGACCTTTAAAAGTTTGTGGTAAAAAGCAGTGTGGGTGAGTTTGTAGTACATTTAAATTACATAATTTGGGGTTGGGCTCTATATATCAGCAGAGCTTATCAGTCAACAGTTGCTCTGGGTTTTCTTTTAAATCGTGTGATACAAGAGTTCATTCATCAGTAGTTTACTCAAAGTTATATTTCCATCCATTTATGCATGTTTGAGTATTCCTGCATTCTCCTCCATTCAAAGCTTGAGTACCAGCAAAATTTCAGCTTTCACCTACCTCCTATCCCCTCCCACTTCTTGAAAAAAAAAAAAAAAATTCTCTGGTTCATGCATGTAGGGTTAAATAATGTCACATAGCCATGCAGAAAAATCTATTGCTCATTATTGAGGTCAATAAAAGCATAAATCAAGTGTCTCTGTTTACATATGGATTTACACATCATTGCATTGTACTAGGGTTACTGACAAAAAGCTATCCAAATAATAATTGGTACTGAAACTAGTATCAAAAACAGATTTCATTTAATAATAAAAAACACATAAAGAGGACAAAATTGGACAGCTCCTGAAAACAACTGCAACTAAAAGAACAAGAAAAAGCTTTTTATTATCATCTTAATATCAGAAATCTGCATTCAGTATGGGGTCTTTCTTAGCAATTAAATTTTAACATCGCCGCTAAATCATTCTTGTCAGAAGATGATTTAAATTCCAAAACAAACTTGCAGCATAAAAACATGATAACACCTTAGGGCAATCCAATCACAGCACCAACATTAACAGGGATTAGGGGAAGGAAGCGAAGCGAATACAAGGACAGGTGTCACAAAGTGCTCATGGGAAGATGGAGAGGAGAGGAAACAAAGCATCATCAGCACAAGGCAAGATGAAAGGTGGTAAATGGCAAAGAGACTGGAGAAGCTAAGCAGGCAACAACAAGGGAGCAGAGAGAAAGAAGAATGAAAAGAAAGAAAGACTGATAAAAACACACACACAATTACACAAAGCAGTTGGGTACTCACCTCGCAGCCTCCAGCAGCTCATCCTTCTTGTATTCACCTAGACGGTTACAGAAGAGCATGGTGTCAGACAACTGGCCGCTTATACACACCGACCACACACACACGCACATGATCGGACAGCTCTCCCCCTCGCCATCTACTGTATGTGCGTCTTTTGTTATGGTTTCGGAGAGCTCTGCCTGACTATCTCCTCTCCTTCCTCTCCATCCCTCCTCGCTGTGTGCGCACCCCTCCGGTTGCCGTGACGATGCGTTGCCGGCAGCGACCACAGCGCGTTCATTGTTTGGGGAGCGACGGGCACATGCGCTGCTCGGTCTCTATAGCCGCACAGCTCTCCTCGCTTCTGTCATAGCGCTAAAAGTCCTCCTCTGGTTAGATATTTGTAGCGTGGCTCTGTGATTTTTATGCTTTTTTAAAATTTCTTCTGCCTAAGCTTTCCTTTGCTGAACTCAGGAGGAGCATCAGAGAGCACAACAGAAATAAACAAACCCCTCCCCCTTTGCTTTGCCTCCCTCACTGGCTCAACCCTGCCCCCCCGCTGCCACTGTCACAACACACCTTCACATATGTGGTATTTCCCGGGGGAGGAAGAGAGACAGATGCCCTAAAAATGCAACAAACATGATTGATTTTATAGTAGAAACAGTAAGATTATTTTCAAGTTTGAAATAAGCACAGATTATGTTGAAAATGTGCAAAGTGACACTGGAAAACATATTGAGGGTAAAGACCAATAGGCACTATCTAGACAATGGAAGGGGTTGTTGAAATGAAGACACTATAAAAGGCAGCAAGTTCAAGGGATAAATTATTTTAATGATCTTTCATAAAAAGAGCATTCAAATCTAAATCCACTTTTTTCACCTTGCTATCTAACCAGCTCTCAAACAACACAAAAACACCGACCTAAACTCAAAAAACAAGTTACCAGTCAGATCTGTGAAGAGGTGACTGTCCACAGTAAGAATGCATGTTTTTCATGGCACTTAGTAACTATAAACACTTGTAATTGAATAAACGCCAGATAGCAGCAGTTTAATGGAATACTGTGGAAAATTCCAAGCCAACAAATCACATCTCCATGGAGACAAGCACGTGGCAAATCCTTCACCGAGAAAGTTACATAAAACACTTTTAAAATATTTGGCCTCATTCTTTCACTGTTGACCACAGAAAATGTTGAGTTCGCAAAATGCACCTTTACTAAAATTACTTGTAATACAAAATGCATTTTTACTACAAATGACTTGTAATACAAAATGCACCTTTACTAAAAATTACTAATGCAAAATGCACTTTTATTAAAAATGACTTGCAATACAAACATGCACCTTTACTAAATTTTTTTTTTTAAATGCATCTTTACTAAAAAAGACTTGTAATACAAAAATGTACCTTTAAAAATGACTTGTAATACAAAATGCACCTTTACTAAAAAATTACTTGTAAATACAAAAATGCACCTTTACTAAAAATAACTTGTAAAACAAAATGCACCTTAATTAAAAAAATACTTGTAAATACAAAAATGCACCTTTACTTAAAATTACTTGCAATACAAAATTCGTCTTTACTAAAATTACTTGCAATATAAACATGCACCTTTACTAAAAATAATAGAAAAATGCACCTTTACTAAAAATGACTTGTAATACAAAAATGCACCTTTACTAAAAATGACTTGCAATACAAAATGCACTTTTACAAAAAAAAAATGAATTATAATACAAAATGCACCTTTACTAAAATTACTTGTAATACAAAATGCACCTTTACTAAAAATTACTTGTAATATAACTTTTGCAGCACAGTGCTATAGGTGGAACAGTGACCAGGGGGCTGAAGCAAAAACAAATAAGATGGATACAACCACCAGTACCTCTGACTACTAAAGGACTGCAAATCACATTACTACATGCTACAATTCAATTTGCTGTACTCTGCCCACATAACATAATAATGATTTATAACACATTCTTATTATTTGAAACTAAGGTGGGCATAGACAGAAAGGTATTGTATTTTAAGATAATTTGATCATCTACATCACCAGAGGAAAAGGTGCAATATCAGTCCATCTAATACAATGCAATGCCCACCTTTACAGTGGACTTTCCAAATATAAGGGACATAAAGTACAAAGAAACAACCACATTTGCACTGTTTACGTTGAGGCTCAGTGCTTCTATTGTCTGAATGCCACGGGGAACAGCGGTAATTACTCTTAGCTTGGACAGCGCATTACTATGGCAATATGAGAGCTTTGAAAACATAAAAAAATATATAGAACACAATCATAGTAACTGCTGAGCTTTCTCTTAGTAAACATAAGGCAGGCTAGTTGTGCATGTTTTATTGATAACAAGATTATACGCTAATTATGCGCTTGTATCTTTATGGGTGTTTAGAGCGGAGTTCAGATTTTGGAAAAAAAAAGAAAGAAAGAAAGAAATTTGAGTATTTTTGCATTAAATAGCAATGATTGTTGATGATTGTTTATGTTTGGGAAATTAATATGAAAGCCATTTTTATTTGGTTTTAATGAGACAAAAATAATCTAATCCAAAATGGTGATTCATCGATATGAGGAAAGATGTAATACATTTTTGTCATAATGAGCAGATTCACACAAGCACTACAGGGGTAAGACAAGGTAAAGAATATCACGTAAAGGTAAATAAGAAAAAGCAAATGTGTAGGAGACGGAGGAACGGAGGGGTGGGGTGGGGCGAGCAGCGCATAAGAAGGTTACAGCCCGGGAGGGGGAGGAGGGAGGAGGGAGGAACAAAGGATCTGCAGATGAAAGGAGAGAAAGGATGATTAGGGATGTGCAAACTGACATGCATGGATTTGACACAGTGTAATTGGTGTTAGCGGGGCTGAGGCGGAAACACAACGGGAGGAAGAGACCGAAGAGAGCCAGAAAAAATAAATTAATTTAAAAAAGACAATATGCATACAAAGAAATGGAGAGTAACTCAAAAAGACAAACAGTCAGTTGTTAATAATATGTAAAAGTAAAACCTCAGCAGTGTCCCATGAAAATGAATTGTTTATTTTAACAAATGAGCTGGAAATAGTGAAATAAACACTCTAAAGTAATATGATCATACATTTGAAAGGTAGGGAATGTAGCCTGATTCAAGAAAATAACTACACTCACATATGAGTGTGGGTTGTCAGTGCCTTAACCTGCAAATAGAGAACATACAAGTTCATGGACAGGTCATGCCTCATGTGAAAGCTCAGAATCTCCAGAATTCACTCGTTGAGCTGCACTAGCACTGATTCATGATTGGCTGCAAGTGCTGAGGTTTAGGTAGTTTCAACTTGAGTTTTTTTAGGTTTATTTCCAACTGGTTTTAGTCATAGGAACTGGCAACTAATAGTAAATACCTGCTTTCATGTATAATTGTCTTGAGAACCAAAACACCAAATGAAAACAAACAGCTTGACAGTGATGTACATTGTTTTTGTCATTTAGAATAAGTTGTTGTCAGTAAAAGCTATAGTTAATTGAAATGTAAAAGCCGTACTTTTGTGTGCCGATTATCTAGTCTTAACACAACGCTGCTGCAGTGTAACCCTTCCCATGACATCTTTATGCATCTTGAATAATGGTCACTGCGTATGAGGTGACTCAAAATGCATTTTAATGCTTAGTCGTATTCCAAGGTGCTCTATAATAAAAGGAGGGAGCACTTTCTTCCTATGAATCCACTTTATAAAAATCATAAAATTGTGATTATTTTTGTCTGAGGGAAAAACAGCGTGCTGAACCTACACATTTATCAAGTCTCAAAGGTCAGAACACTTTGTACAATGGTAGTTCACAACAGCTTTAGATTAGACTCTTCAGGAAAGGATTTGAAACAGTCAAGTCAAGCTCTATCGTAAAAGCTGGGGTCACTGATCACATTAACCTGGGTAGGTACATGTTTGGAGTTTCTAATGGACAAAGAGATTTTTAAACGTTCCACCCTAGCCATACTTACACATTTATGAGCATTTTAATCCCAGAAAAATCCAGCTGTGATTCAATATTGACGTCCAGCCTCAGACTACTGCACTATTTATGTCTAGCAGACTTGCAGTTTCGCAAGTCTGATAAAAGTTTTGGCGATAACAGCCACTTTCTGATCAAATGCATTTTTCTTCACCCATTCACGCTTTGCGAACTATACCAGGCATGACTCAGCACTTTAATTAGTTACACAAATCAAGCCCAAAACACACACTCATCTGTCTTGCTTAATGTCCCCTAACAAGTCGTTAGCGTTGGTTCCGGCTGCTCAGTCTCACCACACACTAAAGCTGAAGTCATTCTATGGTTGCACCAGTCGAGTCTGTTTTGTCATTATTGCTGTTTGGAGCTTCAAATTATTACTCTCATTTTTGGCAATAAACTATACTATTACTGGACAACAGTAGCTCAGTTGGTATAGCATTTGTCCATTACTCCAAAGGTTGGCTCTCAACAGAAACATCATTGGTTGAGCAGTTGACCCATAGATTAGCGGTGCGATTTCACCTCCCACACAGAATGGACTTGGATATTTCCGGTATTATGTAGGTATATTTGATTGGAGGCAATAGTCATTTTATTCATTTGATAATTATGAGAACTGAGGGCTATTACTGTCATCCAATAAGTTTCTCTTTACAAAGTCCTGGGGCTTGAGGATCTAATGCCATGGTTAATGGACTGTCTCCGTCATTATTGGAAGTCCATTGGGTCAAAGCCAGCTGTGTTTTGGAGACTCACAAGGTTAAAGCCAGGGGCACTCAGCTCCCTGTCACTGCTGGAATGTCAATGAGAATCTGCCTAAGTGCTTAAGGAGTTTGTTTTGAGAATCCATCCAATGCTAAATATTCAAACAGACACGTGCAATCTGGATACAAAGGCCTGTAATTACAATGTGATAATTGCTCTCCAAAATGGATTGCAATTTTGGTTAAGTGATGGCTTTAATTTTGGTAAGTTATGGCTTTGACCTGGTTTCTAATTTTCATACTGACTTTTTTGATTATTGAAAC